ATGGGCTATGTATGCGTCACGAGTGTATGTTCACATCGAACAATATAGTAAAATATGAAGTATAATGCAGCAATTTAACCATAAAAAGTGAACAGAATTACTTATATTTTATGGAAAAGTTTTTTTTTTAAACTATTTACGGTGATGTAATCACTTTAATCCTGACACCTGTTGATCACACCTATCCAGGTGTGCTGTGTGCTGTGCTCTTCATACCTGTAAATTTAAGCGATCCAAAATCGTATACATGAAACAGAGTAGCTTCAAGATCTGACATGAGATGTATTTATACATTGAGCGTATATGTTTGTGCACGAAAAGTATAGTTCATAGTTCGCATTGTTTAATACAAGGTGACGTCGTAAAAATTTAATATTAAATATGCGGTGAAATGAGTAGTGAAGCACCTTTGTTTGTCATATATATATATATATATATTGGGTTTGTAGCGTTTTCTCTACAGGTGTCTATGCTTTAATATATGTCCAACAGATAGCATTGCTGTAGTGATTTTTTTTCTTGGCCGGGATTTCGTCCTCTTGCAGCTCGGTGCAAATGGCAAGGCAGACTTCAGCTTTGAACTGGAGCTGGGAGAGCAGCGTCTCTGGCAGCCGCTATCCTTCGAAGCCACTGTGACCGAAGCTCTAACAGGTACGTACCCGCGCGTCGATACGCGGAACGCCGACGTCACCACGATGTTTTTTCCGTGTACGCGCGTCGACGCATGTATCCAAACGTTTTCCTGCATTAAAAAGAACTATAAGCTGGCCTAATTTACATTCTCTGGCGAAAGTGTTTGCTCTGGGGTCTCTCCAAGTTCCCGTGACACCCCCTAAAATTTTCGATTAAACCAAATCCAACGCTTGCCTTGCCCCAAACTAAATTCGACCCCTGAGAAATCGAACTCATCTCCTCCCTGGAAGATTTTGAGACTGACCACGTGTGCGTGTCCCGCAGGTATCTCGCTCAAGGGAGCTGCGTCGGCGCCCGTCTATCAGCACGACGTGAAACTGGAGTGGGAGGGGTCGCAATACTTCAAGCCTGGACTCAAGTACTCAGCATACGTAAGCTCTCGACATCTGATGTCTCTCTCACCGTGTGATGTCTGATGCGCTATCTCTTACACCGCAGAACATCTGACACACTATCTCTCACGTGTGATCACTCTATCACTCATCTGTGACATACTGTCTCTCACACCATGCGCTGTCTGAGGTACTATCTCTTACACCATGTGATATCTGACGTGCTATATCTCACACCATGCGCTGTCTGAGGTGCTATCTCTTACCCCATGTGATATCTGACGTGCTATATCTCACACCATGCGCTGTCTGAGGTGCTATCTCTTACCCCATGTGATATCTGACGTGCTATATCTCACACCATGCGCTGTCTGA